AGACTGGCAGCCTGAGTTCAGTCCCTAAGGCCTACATGGGGAAGGAAGGATGACTCCAGAGAACTGTCCCCTAGCCTGCAGACACACTGACAGTGTACCTAACAGATGCACCCCACCGCTCAGTGTGAAAGTCTTTAAAGGCAGTTTTTAAAACTTGGACCTGGAAACTGAGTGGTGGTGGTGTACATTTTTAATCCTAGCACTCAGGAGGCAGAGGCAGGGGAATCTTCATGAGTTCAAGGCCAGCCTGGTCTACAAAGTAAGTTCCAGGACAGCCAGGGCTACACAGAGAAACCCTGTCTTGGAAAACAAAACAAGTTAAGAAGAGCATGGTAGTCAATACCATTAATCTAGTCAGTGCCTTTAATCCCACACTCCTGAAGCAGAGGCAGGTGAGTCTCTGTGAGCTCAAAGCCAGACTGGTCTGCGCAACCAGTTAGTTCTAGGAAAGCCAGGGCTACATAGTGAGGCCCTATCTTTAAAAAAAAAAAATTTTAGATGTTGATGTGAAAGTGGATATTTGCATGGTGCCGAAGAAATCAGCCTTACCCCAGCTGCCCCCAGGTAGGAACCGTATAAACAAAGTAGCTTGTCTCACAAGAGAATATTTTGGCTTTCAAGAGGAATGAGCTAGGGGGTATAACAGCACAGGCAAATCTGGGAGTAGAAGGTACAATATATTCCCTATACTGTGATAAGGGCAGTTAACATGGATGGCTCGGGGGTCAAGGTACTTGCTTTTGATCCTGGAAACCCATGGAAAAGAGCAGGTTGCAGTAGCAAGCATTTACAATCTGAGCACTCTTAAGTCAAGATGAGGGGCAGAGCCAGGAGAATTGCCCAGAAGCCCCGGTGATAGCTAGGCTGGGGTACAGCAGCATAACAAGAGAGGGCTGCTTCAACTGGCAGGAGAGAACTGACTCCTGCAAGTTGACCTCTGACCTCCACATATGCACTGTGGTACACAAATGCCCCCCATCGTATACACGTCACAACAACAACATAATTAACAAAATGAATACAACATGGGAGCCATCCCATTAAAGTTCTGCTGCACAGCAGTGCTAACTACAGATTCCAAGCTGCACTTGCTCACCTTGGACAAGGGAAACTTTATTCTTACCATAAACTTCCTCCCTTCTACAGCCATCCTACTGTCCTTTTCTGTGTTTGGTTAATTTAGATGTCCCGTGTAAATGGAATCTCAGTGTCCTTCTGGACTGATCTACCACTTGCCATGATGTCCTCAAGGTTATTTCTGCTGCTGCCTGTGGTTGGCAGTGACTAACATTCTACTCTGCTTATAACCCTCGTGCTGTTCCTTAAGACTCATCTTTATAACTTGTGCGTGTGCCCGGGTGTATGTACGCACGTGTGCTCACTAGTTCATGTTCTCACACATGAGTACAATTGCCTGATGAGACCAGAGGTTTCAGATCCCCTTGGAGCTACAGTTGTGAGCTGTCAGATGTAGGTGCTGAGAACCAAGCTTGATCACAATCTTGGTCTTTTGTCACTGCAAGAGAAAAGTGACCAAGACCACTATGATTGGCGGAGTATCTGAAGAATAAGTGCTTTAACCACTGAGCTACCTTTCTGGCCCAGTATATATGCCACATGTTTTAAAAATCTGTGTATCCACAGATAGCTAACACGGTGGTTTCTTCTCTGTAATGCTATATATATATGCTTCCATGGGTCTAATCTCCTGAGTGTGAGGAGCATGTATTGTAAAACTTTAAGACAATTCTGAAGCCATGTTTGAGGCCTCTCAGCAGTACTGTTCCTCCCTCCTGCTGGGAACCAAGGACATAACAGCTACACATGCACATAAAGAGATGATGGGAACTTTCCATCTCCCTGAGTCCTTGTGAATGTTCTATTGAATAAGGGCAAGATAACCCTTAGGTGTCGACTTGGTTCCTGGTGTTTTGACTCAGTCCCTGGGAAAGGGGCAAAGTGACCCTCAGATGTTCCCCCCTTACCTCATCTGATCTGGAAACAGCTCTCCAACCAATTATTGGTAATAGCCCTTTTGAATAAGCCAATCATAATAGTTAATGAACAATCCCCAGTCACCCACCTTGCTTCTGTGGTTTTTTTTCCTTTAAAAATAGCCTGTATCAGCCATTCGGGGTCTTTCTAGCCTCTCGAATGCTGAAAGACCCTGTCATGACAGAATTAATAAAATCCTCATGCTTTTACATCAGCTGTGGTGTGAGAGATGGTCTCTGGGGGCGACTCCTCCTCGGTAATTGAAATCTAGGGTCCAACGGTATAATTATGTACTTGTCACACTCAGCCAGGTGTGGCAGCACCTTTAATTCCAGCAGGGGAAGGTGGATCTCTCTGGGTTTGAGGCCATCCTGGTCTACACAGCAAGTTTCAGGTCAGCTAGGGCTACCTAGTGAGACCCTGTCTCAAAAACACAAAACAAAACAAAATGTGAAATCCCCTCATACTTGATGGTTGGAAAGATGAAGAGTACTTACTGCTCTTTCAGAGGATCCAGTTTCAGTTCCCAGCACCCTATGGTGGGACAAAACCATCTATAATTCTAGTTACAGGGATCCAATGCCTTCTTCTCGCCTCTGAGTGCACCAGACAGGCACACAAAACACATACATACATGTAGATAGACACTTACATACTTAAAATAAAAACAAAATAAATCTTTTTAAAAGCGCATACTCAAGCTAGGCATAATGGATGTCTTACTTTCCTGTTGCTGCGACAAAGTACCATGACCAAGGAATGTCATGATATCTCATTTGTATTTTAATAAGTAAAGCTTGCCTGAAGATCAGAGAGTACAACAGTTCCACTGGGCAGCCTTACAGACCAGGCAGTGGTCACACACACCTTTAATCCCAGCAGCTACACTAGTTCGCCAAAGAAGCAGGGCAGTCGTGTTGCATGCCTTTAATCCCAGTGCTAGAGAGGAACCGTAAAACAGGAGGAAACAGTTCTCAGCTCAGTCTTATTCTGAGGATTCACGGAGGCAAGACAGTCATTTCAGTCTGAGGTAGAGGTAAGAGCCAGTAGCTGGCTGCTTTGCTTTTCTGATCTTCAGGTTGAACCCCAATATCTGTCTCTGGGTTTTTATTAATCGTGCTACAAAGGAAGGCAACTTACATAAGAGTTTGTTGGGGCTTAAAGTTTCAGAGGGTGAGTACATGGCCATCATGGCCTGTTGGGTCCAGGGGGGTCGCGCAAAGATGAGAACACCACCAAGTCTAATAAACCAGAAGCAAACTTTATTCCAGAAACCAGATCCTAGGAAAACCAGAAGCAAACTTAAAAATAAAAAAATAAAAATAAAACACCGCGGGGCACAGAAGCTTATCAGCTAGCTGAGACCACAGCCAGAGATGGTGTTTGTTAGGCTGTGGCAAAAGGCCGGTTTTTGAACCTACTTTTTATAGTAGGGGCACCAGGCATTATCTCTGAACAAAAGAATTTTTACAACCTTGCCCTGACCCTTGGGTTGGTCAGCGGAGACCCTAAAGAGGAGAGTGAGTGCTAATGTCAATGAGTAATTAGGCAGCCATCATGAGATATATTTTAGGGAAGACTACAACGAAAGTCACTAATAGCAAGAAAACAGATATCTTTAGCAATTCATCAGAAAAGGGGCTGCTTGTAACACTAGAAGGTTAATAAATTAGGATTAACTGGTTCTTGGGCTGAGAACTTAGAAGAAAAGCCTTTTATACTGTTTCCAGGTAAATCTTTAGATACTGACTGCCATACTTTACAACCTCCATTATCAGAGCTCATTAATTAAACCTTTGTATTTATCCACTGTCTCCTGGTACCTGCGGGTGTAAACTGGGGTCTTATGCCTCTCCTCTGGTGTCGCTAGTTTCCCATAACAGAGACAGTGTCTGACCCAGAGGTCACATATCTCTGTCTCCTAAAGGTTAACTCAGTTTACATCTGCCATTTATCTAGGATGGTCAGGACACTGCTCTTAATTTGTAGAGAGATGCTCTGGCCTTGTAAATAAAACAGCCAGTTGTAAAATGACCTACGCTTCCCAAGCATCTGAGAAAATAACTCACTGTGAATGAATGATCCTTGATCTGCTGAGAAAGCTGCTGACAGTCTGTTCTCATTCTCCTAGACTTATAACTTTATATTTCTTTATTTCTACTTTTTTATTTTCTTATGCCTGGTCTCTTCAGCCAGGAGCATGACCTCTGGAAGGCAGGCATGGCACTGGACAGTAGCTGAGAGCTTACATGTTAAGACACAAGCAGGAGGCAGAGAGGAGAGGAGGATGGAGAGGGAGACAGAGACAGACAAAAATGGTATGGGCTTTTGAAACCTCAAAACCCGGCCCCAGTGATATACACCTTCTACAAGGCCACACTTCCTAATTCTTCCCAAACAGTTCCTGCACATGGGACCCAGGTATTCAAAAACATAAGCCTATGGGGGCCATCCTCATTCAAACCACCACAGTGGCTCACACCTATAACCCCAGTTCTTACTGGGGAGGCTGAGGAAGGAGGATTAGAGTAAATTGAAGGCCAGTTTGAGTTCCAGGCCAATCAGGAATACATAGCAAGACCCTCTCTTTAACCTTCCTCACCTAAAAATAAAAACAAAAAAATTGAGAAGTAAATAAACGGAAGGACAATCATGGTTGTTGGTCAGCACCGGGTAAATGCAAAACACCCTGCAGAGGCTTGCTTTCTTCTTTACACTTTTTAATCCTTCTGCTTCCACTTCCCAGGGCTTTTTGGTTTTGTTTTTCGAGACAGGACCCACGACTTTTTGAGGCTCAGTCCTAATAGTACTTCTCTCTTGTGCTCAACCTAGCCCACCCCCTTCCGCAGCTACACACAGGTCTTCCTCAGGTTCTGTTCCTGCACTTTGCATTGATCCCTTGTGTCTGTCAAAAAAGTATCTTATCTACACTTTGTACGTCTGAGGTTGTGACAGTCAGACCAAGCGAACCTTTGGGCCTAAATCCTGACTTTACCTAAGGCTGCCACGGAGCCCCTCCCCAACAGAATCGCGGATTCAATTTAAAAGCCTGTTATTGCCGGAAGCACTTCCTGCTCCGCAGATAGTGATAATGTTGTTTATATGTTATGCCTGACTGCACTGACAATTACGATCGTCTTGGGTCCCCAGGGAGTTTATCATGCACCTGTGTGTGTCCTGCACACAGCTTGCAGGTGGTTCTACACAGTCAGGGCCGTTTCCGGCAGCGGGTGTCAACCCTGGCCAGACTAACTGGTAACTACAACTGCAGACAGCTGCGACTCTCCGGGCACCAGTTCTGACCGCGCTCACCGTAAGACGGATTCTTTTGCCACCTCCGGGCCTTGCGACTGCCACAAAGCTTGCCTACCACCCGGGATCTCCTTAACTAAAGAACTCCATTCCCTTCAGCACCGCCTGCCCAAGGAACTACACTTCCCAGCAGAAGCCAGGGCCGCTACGTCCTCTCCCAGCGTGCTCTAAGGTTCGGCAAGCCGCTGCAATTAACCCCTTAGTGGCAGCAGCCTACGATTGAACCACAACCAGCACAGGTATCCAGCTTGGATGCTGGCGATACGGGTCCTCGGTGGAACTGAAGATCTAAAGTACCTGGGAACCTGGGAAGGCAGGACACCCAAGATTTTGTTGGGGTGGGGAGGGAGTCCCATAGAGAACTCCGCCTCCTCGCAAAACTAGGACCCTAAAGGTTTTCCCCTAACCGAACTTTTTTTTTTTTTTTTTGCCCTGGATAAACCGTCTGCCCTCTCGACATGTACCTTCTCCTCAAAGGGAGCTCTGAAGTCAGGATGTGGATGGGGAGAAAGCAAGCCTCCCTCCACTGTTGTGTGTGTGGTGGGAGGGACGGTAGGGGCATGGAGATGGGAGGAACAGGTTTGTGGGTGGGTGGGTGGGTGAGCACGGAGGACACAAAGTAACAGGCTTCATCAAGGATCTGAACTGTATTCTAAAAGTGGGTGTGGAAGTCCATGCAAGGATAGCATTAGTGAGCAAGACAGCCATCCTGCCATACTGCCTTCCAGCTTCAGTTTCCTGGTACCCTGGCTTTGGATAGGAAACAGAGACTACAACTAGGTCAGCATTTTCCTGCCTATCCTAGATGGCCGTGTGCCTCTCTGCCTCCCGCTCTGTAAAACCTTGGTGACAATTCCTACTTAACAAGATCTCTTCTGGCACAACCTGTTGTCCTCTTCCCACTACAGGGGCTGCCATTCCGCCTTCAGAATGCCGGAGGGTCCGGAGCTGCACCTTGCCAGCTGCTTTGTAAATGAGACATGTAAGGGGCTGGTATTTGGCGGCTGTGTGGAGAAGTCCTCTGTCAGCCGCAACCCCGAGGTACCTTTTGAGAGCAGTGCCTACCACATCTCAGCCGTAGCCCGAGGCAAGGAGCTGCGCCTGACTTTGAGCCCCCTGCCTGGTGCCCAGCCCCCTCAGAAGCCGCTGTCCCTTGTCTTCCGCTTTGGTATGTCTGGATCCTTCCAGCTGGCACCTGCAGATGCACTGCCACCCCATGCCCATCTACGCTTTTACACGGCCCCACCTGCCCCCCGGCTTGCCCTCTGTTTCGTGGACATCCGCCGTTTTGGCCACTGGGATCCTGAGGGTGAATGGCAGCCAGGCCGTGGACCCTGTGTCTTGCTGGAGTATGAACGGTTCAGGTAGGACTGTGTATTCTAGAATACCATCCAGGCCCACAAGAAACAAATCCTAGCCCTGAATGAGCCTCAGTCCCCCGTCTATGGATTGAGATGATGTCAGGGCAGGCCAAAGGAAAAACGGCCTAAGGTCTGAGGACACCGAGAAAGCATTGGAGTTGGACTGGGGCCCAGCATCCCACTTTGCTTCCTGGTGGCTCCAGGCCATCAAGGAAGGTGGAGGGCGTTCAAAGCCTGCACAGTGGGGAGAGGGTGGTCCAGTGACTGTTAGTCAGGTTTTAGTGGCCCTCGCAGTCTGCCTGGGGCCTCCTCTGATTGTCTGTTTTCAGTACTTTCCTCTAAAGAGGCAGTAAGAGTCTCTACTCCAAGACAGGCCTTGTAGGGTACAGCAGTGGGCAGGGTAAATGTGTCCCTCTGACCATGGCACTGATGTGCAGGTAAGGCATGGGGCCAGGACACATAAAATAAATTCACAGACCTTTAGCCAAGTGTGGGGAGCATGTCAGGAATGGCCACTCACGGGAAGTGATCTTTGAACTGAGATTGGGCTGGTGGAGGTGGAGCCTATGTAAACTCCAGTCTCTGCAGGTCTGGGGTGGACTGGCACATTCTCCTTTTCCTCCCTGGGAACAGACTGTGCCTCTGTTGAGCCCTAGACTTGGTCACATCTCTGTCACAGAAGTAGTTGACTGCCGGCTGGCCCAGGAAAGCCACTATCCATAGCCCTGGGTTGTCGCTGCTTGTCTTTCCTTGGGAGGTGGGGGCTATGGACTGTTTGCCGGGAGGTTCTAGTTTATCTCTTGACTGACCTCGAAGCTGTTTCTGTAGTCCTCCAGCTGGGTGCCTTGGGCGGGAGGGAGGGGGTTAGAACCACACAGAAGCAACTACATTTTTTTTTCTTAGAATGTCTCCTCACACTCATTCATGCCCACCACCCAGCCAGTCTTCATACTTTGAGGAAGTAGGGGCGAGTTGAGACAGGATTTCACCCTATCTCAGGATGGCCTGGCATTTGATACATACTCACAGCTGTAGGGTTATTGCCTCACCAAGGTGTGTGTGTGTGTGTGTGTGTGTGTGTGTGTGTGTGTGTACAAAGGTACAGGGTCTTATTACAGAGCCCTGCCTGGCCTGGGGTAGCTATGTCAGTAAAGCAGGCCCCAGACTTGCCCCTGTCCTTCTGTCTCAGCCCCCCTCCCCCAAGTATTGGAACTTCAAGTGTGAACTACCATGCCTAGCTGAACGTTTTTGATTCTTTAATAATAAACAATCCCATGTTATTCCCATGTAGCAAATAGGAAAACTGAGGCTCCAGCTGCCCTAATAGTACTGACCAGACAGTACTGAGACCGTTTCTGCCTCCCCTGCCCTTTATCCCTATCCTGGGGTGTGAGATAGGTCTCATGCATCCGGCCTGTCACTCCAGGGACAACGTACTTCGGAACCTCTCAGACAAAGCCTTTGACCGGCCCATCTGTGAGGCCCTGTTGGACCAGAGATTCTTCAATGGCATTGGCAACTATCTGAGGGCAGAGATCTTGTACCGGTTAGCAGGCAGGCTGGGGGTACAATGGCTGGGGTGGGGCATGGATGATCCTATCCACTACTTAGCCTGGACCCTCCCCACTGTTCCAGGCTGAAGATCCCCCCTTTTGAGAAGGCCCGTACAGTTCTAGAGGCCCTGCAGCAGTCCCGGCCGGTGAGGACGGTGTGCAAGCATGTGTGCGGGTTTGGGTGGTAAGGGTATGGTAGAGCCAGGTGTCTCTACCTCAGCTTACCTAGTGTGTGGAGGGTGAGGAGGGGGTGTGAGCCACGTCAGAGGTCTTGCCGAGCTCAGAGGGGAAGTCCACTGTTTTCAGCGTGAGGCGGGATGAGTACTGTGTTAACACCTTGTCTACCCATTCCCCCTTCAGAGCCCAGAGCTGACCCTGAGCCAGAAGATCAAGGCCAAACTGCAGAACCCAGACCTGCTGGAACTGTGTCACTTGGTGCCCAAGGAAGTGGTTCAGCTGGGTGAGGCCTGGGAAGCCAAGATGGCCAGTGCTCTCTGCTTTAGCTCTGTGAGATACTGGGCAGCTATCCTCTTGACACTGGAGAATGGTAGTTTGCTAAACAGACCAGGTCTCTTGGCAAGTTCCCACTTTCTCCCAACCTTTCATGCAGTAGGAAGGACAAGGATTCTTCCTTGCTGATGGAGGGGGCTGGGAGCCAGGGTGGGAGGACGCCAGCCTAGTCACAGTGGGAGAAGGCAGTGTGGCCCTGACTCGGTCCGTCAGCTTCTTTAGCTGAGCTCTGAGCCATGGTGAACCAGACTCCTTGTTCCTCCCACTCCACAATGCTCCCTCACCTCTGACTAGTTCCTCTGTCCCTCAGGGGGCAAAGGCTATGGGCCAGAGCGTGGAGAGGAGGATTTTGCTGCCTTTCGAGCCTGGCTGCAGTGCTATGGCATGCCAGGCATGAGTTCCCTACGAGACCGGCACGGCCGTACCATCTGGTTCCAGGTTTGAGTCCTACTGCTCACATGAACACATGGAGACCCTAGGGAAGCTGGTGGGGCAACAAGATAGGAGGTAGAGGTCTGAGCCAAGTGGAAGTCTGCCAAAGATCACATCACTCCTGGGTGTATAATTCTCCAATGTCATGCTCTTCTCCTTGGAGCCCCAGGGTTCAAGCCAGTGGAACAGCTGAAAGCAGCTAACGTTGGTGTGTGCACACGTGTGCTCGCATGTGTATGCATGCGCACACATGCACACATACATGGGTTGGAAGGACTCAAAGGCTTCCTAGACAGGGAACTATACTGATCTGAAAGGATATGTCCTTGCCACTTAAGGAAAACTGTCCTTTCACCAGACCAGGTTGACTCCAGAATTATCCTCATTCCATTTTAGGGTGATCCTGGACCCTTGGTACCCAAAGGTAAGCAGTTCTTAATGTAAGAGATAAAGAGCTGGAAGACCAAGGGCCGACCTTGCACCCCATCCTCCCATCCCTCTCCAACCTTGAAGTCACCCAGCAGTAGGAGTCTGAAGCCCTAGGGCTCTCTAACTCCAGTGCAATGTCCTACAGGGGGCAGATCCCGGAAAAAGAAGTCAAAGGAGACACAGCCGGGGGCCGAGGTCAGAAAAGAGGTAGGAGAGCCAGCCCCTGCCTCTTTTGCACTTACGCCTGGCCTGCTGTTTCCCCCTCAAGGGCCTGCCAGTGCATGGTGGGAATGTCAGTGGTGGGTCCTAACGAACCTGTCAACTGCTAGGAGGGAAACCTAGTAAGGACCATCTTTCCTATCCAGGACCTTCCGCTTTCGAGCAAGACCATTTCCAGGACTCGGAGGGACAGGAAACATGCCTCTAAGAGTAAAGCTCAACAGTCTGAAGGGACCAGCCTCCAACAAAACCAGGAAACCCCTACAGCCCTCAAGAAAGGAAAGAGAAGGGGGCGACTGGCAGCCACAGGTAGACCTTTTTAAACTTCCTCCTGGAGCTGGGAAGGGACCCCAGGGAGGGACTTCAGGGAGGATGGGAGGTAACACAGGGTGACAGAGGGAGGAAGGCCTAGTACAGGACACACAGTCACTGCCTCGCCTGTTCTCACCACAGGTCGCCGCAGACCCCCGAAGAGTAAGACCGATACCCCATCCCGGGAGGCTAGGAGAACTTCAGCCTCATAGAGGGAGGTCGCCTTGCTTGGCACTCCTTCCCTGCTGCCTTGCTGTGGGTCTGGGGGTATGTCTGATCCCCTGGGAGCAGTATTTGTAGGGCTGTGTGCCCTAGGCCATCTGACTTTTCCTGTACAGCTGTTTTTTGAAGCAGGATCTCATACATCTTAGGCTGGCCTTGAGCTGGGATGTACCCAAGGATGACAATGACTTCCTGACTGATCTTTATTTCCATACCATAATTGCTGGGATTACAGATGTGAGCCACCTCAGCCTGACAACTGATTTTTCTGTTGTTGTCTTTTCAAGGGTTTCTCTATGGAGCCCTGGCTGTCCTGGAACTTAATCTGTAGACTAGGCTGGCCTTGAACTCAGGATCGGCCTGCCTGCCTCATTACCCCCCCCCCCACAACCGAGTACTGGGATTAAAGGTGTGCGCCGCCGCCACCACCACCCCTGGTTTGTGATGATTGTAAACATGCGCCAGCTTCTACATTATTTGAAAGCCCATGTTAAAACATTACCAGACTAGTAAATTTGAACTTCTTGGTTTGGCTACATGAGGTATGATGAGGCCAGGTTGGAAAGGCATGCTGCGTGGCTCCACCTAATTATAAATGTAATTCTGCCTTCCACCTTCCTCACCTACTCGAGACTTAATCAGAGAGGACAGTCTGCCTCTGCAGGGCCAGCCCTCTGCAGACCTGGACTCAAGCAGTCCAGGATTCTTCGGGGCCTATGGCCAACACTTGCCTAAAGCCTTCCTCCCAGCTGAGGGTGGTGGTGTGGGAAGACGTGGGGATGTGTGTAGGGGCAATCTTAGCACCTCTGCTGCGGATACAGGAGGAACCCTTTATCTTAAGGTCACAGATGGGGCCAACAGCCGGACCCTTCATGCACAGGTTACCCGAGATCTTGAACCTGGAAAACACCTCTCTCCATCCTCCTTACAAGCCAAGGAGTGGTCCTAAGAGGAGCAGCAAGGCTCGATCACAGGGCTGCTAATCTAAGCATTTATTGCACAAGATGCTTGTTTCAGGCTGGGGAGGTGGAAATGAACAGTTCCCAAAGCTTTCCACAACATGACTCAGTTTGGTGGAGGCTGAAGCACCAGCAAAAGGGACCTCACTTGAAAGGGAGAAAAGGTAAGCTTCAGGCGGTTGTCATGAAGGGACAGGTGACCAGTAGGGTCTCGCTGCTCTAGGAGATCACAACTGGATGGAGAAAAGGAGAGGCCATAAGGACCGACAAGGGCAGGGCTCCCACCGCGCCCTCTCATCCCCACTTACAGGATGGCCTCCTGAATGGGCAAAGATGTGTGTAGCCAGCAGTCCACGTGGCTGCCATAGGCCTCATACAGCCTTAGAACCAGTGTGCGGTGTTGATGGCTCTTCTCAGCCTGTGAAAGGAAGGAGGGGCAGTAGGCAGCCAAGAACCTATGCCTCCCAGGAACCTCCCCAGACTATCCTGCCCTTGCCTGCTTGATGGTCTCCAACACCACTGCGGGTGTAGAGACAGAAAAGGCACTCCAGGTGGTGGCAGGCGCTGGGCCTGGAGCTGGCAGGGCCAGCAGAGGAAAGTTGAGGTTGTAGGCAGCATGGATAACACCAGCTTCTTGGAAGGAACCTGGGGAATGACCAGAACGAAATACATGTGACCACTGGGAGCTCCCCACCGTGCCTCTGGAGAAGATATAAGGCTAGGCTGCCTCAGTTTACCACAGTGCCTGCTGGAGGTTCAGGAAAGGGCAGAGAAGTGTGAAGAACAACAGAACGAAGGCCCCATCACCCTGGTACTCACCCTTGTGTGGCATCAAGGCATAAGTGAATTCATGGCGCCCCATATCAGCAGTAACATCTGGCGCCTTAGGTGCACGCAACCTAGAGTGGGAGATACGGGAGGGCTGGAGTTCCAGCACAGGAAGCCCCAGCATGCAAGCCAGCCCTACACCCAAAGGCCCCGCACTCACAGCGAGAGGCTGAGGACATTGCCCTGCACGGATGCTCCGTACTTGCAGTTGTTGAGCAGGGCCAGCCCAAAGTCACACTCAGACAGATCTATCCAGCGCTGGGCCCACACCTGAAGGGCAGACCCAAGCCCATGGGTGGCTATACTCCAAAGCTCTTTGCAGTAGGAGCCCATGGTTGCGTCCTAGTCAAGGAAGCTTTGGGCATGCCATCCCACCTGTGCCTGCTTCCTCATCTGTGAAATGGCAACAGTGGCCACAGCATCAAACCAAAGTAGAGCATTTAGCAGATGCCTGACCCGTGTGAAAACCACGGGTGTCAGATGTTTCCCTCCTCTTGCTCACAAACCACAACACTAGTCTCTCTTCAGTGAGGGGTGAGTAAAAGTCCCCCTCCCCTCCCCGATTCCCCATGTCAGACCTCGTATCGAGCCCAGTCCCAAGAGGTATTATAGTGGGTAGGCCTCTGAAGGTGCCCAAACTGGATCTCATAGGTAGCCTGCGGGCTCCGTATGCGAGCAGGGAACTCCACCTTCAGGAACTTGTGGGCCTCATGCCAGTGCACCTGGGAGTGGAATGGAGGGTGGGGACAAGAGAAAGGCATCCGGCCTCCTCAACAGCCCCATCTGGGAAAGACGGCCACTATCCTGCCCCTCTACCTCAGTGTGGAAGCGGACATAGGGGCAACCAATGTCCAGCACAACTTCCTGGCTGAGCCGACTGCTGGGGCTGATCTGCAGCAGGAACCAGGCACTGCCCCGAAGGCCACCTTCAGTGCCTACTGCCAGGGTCCCTGCCTGGCCCCGCACAGGCTTCCTGTGGGATGAAGGTAGGGGGTCCTAAGTCAGAGCAGCTTGTATCCACAACCACAACCGCCCCCAGGAGCTACCCAGTATGTACCGTGTCTCTAGATGATAGTCCATGACATCCCATGCATCCCAGTACAACGGCACATCATCGAACAGCACAAACTGGTTCCCCAGGGCACCCTCTGCAATGGCCTCCCTGGGAGGACATAGGGTCCAGGTATACTTGGTGGGGACAGCTAGCCCAGCCTGCCCTGCCCCGTGCGTGGGTCCCAGCCTAGAGGCACTGCTTGGTCAATGTGGTGGCGAGGGGACAAGAGAAGAGGGCAGAGCTCGGGATCTATCTGCCAAGCATGGGGTTAAGAACAAAGAAGGGTTGGCACCTGCCAGAAGCCACCAGGACCAGGGAAGTAAGGCAGCCAGTTGGATCCAGTCTCACCCGGATGATGCCATTGTCCAGAGTCACAGAACCATCAGTCTTGGGTGGGAAAGTCCTTAAGCTGAGTTAGCTGTGTTCCCCACCTCCAGTCCAACCCTCTTAAAGCTGTACATTACCCTAGTACCTTGTTCAAGACCAAGGAGCATCCCAGAGTAGGCCCCACCCCATTGGGGGCTGCTAGGACTTACCTCCTGCACCACAAACACAGGCTGCTGGGGCAGCAGGGGCTGCAATGAGGTGGGAGCAGGAGCATAGCCAACACTAGGCACTGTCACCAGGGCTGGGGACAAGGCCTGGGCATCAGTGTAATCCCTCTGACTTTCTGGAGACCTCACGCAGGTTAAGGATAGGTTGAGTGGAACAGGATATAGCTACTTCTCTCTAGACTGGGGTAGCCCAAAATAGAGATCCCTGGGGGAGTATCCCTGCCATGCTGCCTAGCTTTGGTTCCTCCTGCTGCAGGACCAGCCTTCCCCTCCAGCTCATACCTAGACTGTGAGCCCCACCAGGCTTGGGCAATGCCAACACTTCAGTGCGCTTCCAGGGCAATGTGTTGACAATAAGGAGGCCCTCAGGACCTGGCTCCCCAGCACACAAGGCTGCGGCTGCAGTACTGAGCAGTGTATTGCCATGGGAACGGATGTCTGAGGAGAGAGGGGTTTGATCATGGGTGGGCAGTGTTTCCACTTGGCCCTGGATGGAGAGCAGCAGGACCGCTATGGATTCAGGCCAGCCTCACCTTCATAGTAGCTCATGGCGTCTTCTGCCACCAGCTGAATGCAGCTTCCAGTCAGCACATCATGGAACTGGTTGAGGAGTAGGAGCCTGTGGGAACCAAAGGCAGAGACAGGGAAGGCTGAGGAGGGCGGCCAATGGGGGTGACAAATTAGGTGAGCAGCAGGGACACTTGACTGACCTCCAGAGGTGCTCCAGCTGGGCAGCTGGGTATAGGAACTGGGTACTGCGGGCTAGGGCCAGGCTGCTCAGCAGCTCCACATCATGAAGGATTTGCTCACATTCCCGGTTCCCCTTCTTGAGCTGTGCCCAGGGTGGGAGAGTCAGGTTGGAGTCTGCTGTGACCCAGGACACCTTCCAAAGCTCTCTCTTGCTCAGAACCCTTGACAGCCGCCCAAGGTCACTTGGAAATAGCCTCTCATAGGAAACTAACTCAAGTGGCCTCCCACCAGAACCATCATCCAGAGAAGCCCTGTCCCACCTCCTGCCTGTGTGCAGGATTTACTCAGTACTGCGACTTTTTCGAGCCCCTACTTGGAGAAGGAGGCCACTAAGTTCCACCTTTGCCACTCCCTACCCTTCCCCCACAGTCTGACCCAGACCAAGGCCCTGTGTTTGCTAGGCTGGTAGCCTGGCTGACCTGGGCATGAGTAGTGTAGGTGCCATTGTGCAGTTCCAGGAAGAGTTCCCCAACCCACGTGCACAGCTGTCCCGAATCTCTCTCCAGTGCTGTGAAGAGCTGTTCAGGAGACGCCAGCTGCACCCTGAGGAAGACCACAAGCCTGGGCTCCCACTTGGGAATCCTACAGTTTGCCCTTGGTCTATGGTGCAGACCAGAAGGGCCAGAGAAGACACGCCCTAGAAAACCCCATATACAGGGCTGCACTCTGGTGGGGTTAAGCCCCTTCCTACCTCAGAATTTCCCTCCACCCTATCCCCGGAGTGGAAGTTTGGAAGATTGGTGGGCCAGGGCTTGAGAGACACAAGGTCCAGGGCAGGGGGTTGAGTTTCATATATAAACAAAGAGCAGATTCAAGGCAAGGGCTTAAGGGTAGGGCTACATGAAGGTGGCTTCAGAACCAAGGGCTGATGTAGGCTCAGGCCTAACCTGGGCAGCCCATCAGTATTGCTCAACCGCTTTAAGCGGTCTAGCATGGTCTGTGTGGGGCCACCACCCCCATCCCCGAAGCCGAAGAGGAAGCCACTGTGGTTGGTCCGCCCCTTGTCCCGGTTGTTGGTCACAGTCTTCAGCACCTAGATGGGTAGGAGACAGGTTAGCCTAACCCAGGATACCCAGCCTTCTCTGAATCCCCAGCATTATA